ATACATATAGCCGCAAATGTACATAGATAACCAATTTTTTTGGTCCAGAATTTTGCAATCTTAAGATAACTATGCCACATTTTTTAAGAAGTATTTACACCCTTGTTTTTGAGCATCTTAAGTGAGCTAGCTTCAATTCACAAACAAAGTTATGCCACGGGTTGTCTCCTTTTATTGAGCTGCAGCTCTGTTTCACATTTGTTCTGGTTTTCGAGTTTCTAAACATAAATGTTCCCCTCGGTTCATAATAGCTGACTCTGTTGGAAGAGCCTCTCAACACAATAAGGGAGCATATTATTTGACATAGTTTGTGGGCAGTTTTTAAATCCACCACGCAGAATTTAAGCATATGCGATTTTATGAATAGATTGTTCGTTGTACGATCATCCGCAAGGTTTGACCTCTTCTGGAAAATAAGAACCCTCTTTTTTTTTTTTTTGATTTGTTTGTGTGTCCCCGACTATCCATCTAGCCACCTGTCCAACCATCAGTGCATCTTGCTCCCTATTTACAAAGTCTCCCCGTTTATTTATTCAGCCATCTTTTCATGCATGTATTCGTCCATCTGTCTATTTATGTGTCCCAACGATCAACCCACTTCAGCCTCGCTGCGCGCGCACCCTGAAGCGCGGGTCATACGAGGTGGACGGAGGGGGGCGGGGTGAGCAGCTTTGCGGGGGCTGGCTGAGTAGCCTTGCGTGGGCGGGGCTTCGCTCTTTTATTTCAAGTCCACGCCCGAGCGTGAAAGCTCCACAGGCGCGCACTATCGCCGCGGAAGAACAAAGTGGAGTTAGCCGCGCTTCTTTTGTCCACTTTGACGACGTTTTCACGCCCGCTTACTCCACGCATCTTCTCTTTTGTTTTTGTGTCACCTATTGTTGGCCGCGTACTGGCTGAGGTAGTAGTTTGTGCTGTTGTTTGGGTTGTGACTGTGCCCGCTATGGAGATGACTGCGCAAGCTACTGCCTTGCCAGTGCTAGCCTCGCGCTCCCCGCCGGGAAGGAAGCCGCCTTTTGACGCCGTTCCCAGGTAAAGACATATCCAAAATGTACACTTGTCGTTTGCTAAACCAATTCCGTACCGTCGTCGTACTTTACTAGAATCCTAAACGACTCTTAAGCCTTTTTTTTTTATTTTCGTGTGAAATCGCACCGTGTCTCACGTTTGACGAAATAAAGTCGTTCACCGACCGTGGGAAAAAAAATGACTACTTCCGTGTTTGCTTGTCAAAGAAATGTAAGGCCCTAAAATGGTGGCTCGTGTTGTAAATTCAACACACACACACACAAAAAAAAATAGTGCTCTACGTTAGGAGGGGGGTCGAGTGGGGTGTGTGTAATCGACGCACCACGCCGCGGTGCGTAGCGTGGCAGAAGGCTTGTAGGTCAACGGCGCTGTTGCTATGTGGAGACGAGTGACGTGGCTCCGGCTGCCCACAAAGGTATCCCACAATACATCTGCTGCCTTAGTAGACCTCTGCTTCTCCTCCTTTCGTCCATGTTGTTCCTCACTTGTTCAACATCTCCCTGTCTACAGTCACTTTGATGTTTTTGTAGTGCTTTCAACGTCTGGTGCCTGTAGGTCAGGGGTGTCAACCTCATTTTTGTGGCGGGCCACTCTCGGAGGGCCGTTATGATAGTGAAACCACACAAAAAAAAATTCGCCTCGTTGCATTATTTCTCTTACACAACAAATGAATGGATTGCTCGTTTTGAAATCAGTCAACCATCATAGTTTGTTTAATTATTGTTCAAATGGATGTAAACAGGCGAAAAAATGATTGCGAAATCTCGTTCTTGATGACACATGACAATTTGGCATTTCGGTACAGATTTTAGCAAGGATCATGCAAGGTGACACGCGTGATTTGCCTTTGCGGGTCACATGAAATGACGCGGCGGGCCGGATCTGGCCCAGGGCCTTGAGTTTGACACCTTTGCTTTCGGTTAACCCTGTATCATGTTTTTCACCACCTCAAAGAAACAAAAACACTTTGTTCTCTAAGTGAATGATGACCAACATTAAAGTACAGTAATATAGTAGGCCCAGGTGTTTAAAGTCAGTGGTGCCTGCTCATGTGAGTTAGCTGACCTAATTTTTTTTTAATTTGATTCGGCCAACATTTGAGATACGAGTTGTATGGTGACTGAGACAGCTCATGCCACCAAGCAGCAATTTGGCATTATGAATCTCGTCCAAAAAAGGGGGTTACGAGCAACTCCTAGTTGACGTTAACTAACAAAAAGAATGACATGTTTATTGAAATGTAACGACATCGCTTTGGTTTGAACAGAACAGAAGCGTAATGCTAACCCATAATGGGTAACACCAACCTGACCGTACAGGCTACCGAGTAGCATCTCTTGGGTGACGTTAATCTCAGGTTTTAAGGAGTGGAGATTTGAACACAAAGGGTGGTGCAACACAGACGAGAAACAATCCTCAGTCATATACTTTACCCATGACTACAGATTGAGTCGTCTTCGTTTGTATTTGAACGACTGTGTTATGCTGCTGTCCAGTGGCCAAGTCAAGACACACCAAAAGAGCCGCAAGGAACTAATCGTGATGCACAAACTGCTTTAATTTCTTAAGGTGTGTTACAATATATTTTTATAAATTACCGTATTACAGAATGTTTATTTTCCTTATTAAAACAGTATGATTTTTTGTTTCATTGGGGTGGGGGGGCAGAGGCTAGAACAAAGATATGCCATACTGCTTCATTCATGTTCATATCTGTATATGTATATTTATGTAGTGTTTATATAACTTGATTGCGTAGGATGTGCATTCCATATTTTTGCATGTCACCGTTTCACAAAGCAAGAAAAGTTGAAGTGATCAAGCCACAGATTTGTTTGCGTGATTTTGTAACCTGATTTGTGAAGCTCGTGTCGTCGTGAACGCCTGAAAGACGGCAAGTCTTATGACTTTTGTACATTTGCTCCTTTTTGTATACGAATGCATGTGCACTCATTGACCTCTTGTACATATGAAATGTTTTACTCAAAACAAAATAAATGAGAAATGAAAGTCAATGTGTTGAGTAAGTGAAGGGCTCTAAGTCGATAACCTCTTTCATATTAAGTTATAGTTCGGAAATCTAACTTATAAGATATTTAAACGTCATTGTTTATCGGAGTCAACGTTAATTTATTGCTTGTGTTTGTTTCAACGATAAGACAAAGTGAGCGGACCTTAAAAATCACAGCGGCAAGATTAACAATATTTGCAACAACCGAGTGCCATAAAAAAACGTAGCGAGAGGGCAACGAGTTAGCGATTCCTCAAACAACCTCTCTCGCTCTCCCCGGAGTCAAGCGAGGGCAGACCGCCAGACGTAGCATGCGCGCATCTGTTGGCGCAATAATCAGATTATTATGCTAAATCTGGAGCGCCTCCGCGTTAGCGCTTGGCCGAGCGAAGCGCACGAGGCCGCGTCCTCACTCGAGGTCAGCCGACCCGACGGAGGTCGTGCGTCGGAATGCGCTACGCTGCCGCGCCGCTAGCATCTGGCAACCCCGCGGGCGCCGCCGAATGGATGATGTACTTCCCACTCCCTCAAATGAGAGCGCGCCGCCGCTCGCTCCAGACTGGATGGCGCGGTTGACCTTCCTGCAAGATTGATGTGGAATGTTTCACACTCCTGTGAGGGCCGCTAAGCGTCCGTGCTGATACCGCAAAATTTGGGGCTGATAAAAAAAACAAGGGTCCTCGCATTTCTTCGTGTGCTTGCTTGACTCACAGAAAGGGGAACGCTCGCAATTTTTTAGGTTTCTTTGCTTTTGACTGTGAAGGAAAGTATTGACGTACAGGTAAGCTGTCACTTGACAATTTTATTTATTTTTTTGCACTCTTGATTTGTTTTTTTTCAAGCGCTAATTATTGTGGTAGCGAATGTCACAAGACAAACAACATTGGGCACATAGTGAACAATTCTTAAAAAAAAAGAGACAGTCTGTTATGAATGCTTACTGAATGTTTGCCTTGGAACTGATTCACTTCAAATGGTGCGACAGTGAGAAACTGCTGAGGCCTCCCAAGCATTTAGCCAGCATCCCATCACATATTTTGTTTTGTCGGCATCCTCAGGGGTCACAATTAGCAAACGGTGCGGGGGGGGTGCTCAAAAGCTTGGAGCCAAAATGCAATATTAAAAAAAATAATAATTTCAAGGCATGCAAAACAGTTTTTTAACCACCAAATGATGATCCTAAATGACTTTCATGTAAAAAAAAAAAAGATTTTTCTTTTGCTTGAATTTTTTGGCTCGCAATACAAAGCACAAAAAAACGGATTAAGTGGCTGCTCGTCACCTGAACTTGTAAGAAAGTCGCTCTCACTTCATCATTCCTTTGCTGTAACCTTGGAAGCAAGAGGGCGCCCACGGGGGTGTGGGGGATGATGCGTCATCAGCAGCATCCGATCTGGCGCACAAGCATGCGGATGAGAGGAGAGAAGGCGCGTCGTGCCCGATCAGCACTGACGTGACCGGAGGTGGACGCGGTGGCGGCGTGCGGCGACCAGATGGCCCGCCAAGGAGCGCGCCATCGGCCTGGCCACTTGATTAGGTATGCCGACACGACACTCGCTTGACTTCATGTCACGGATTCACGGAACCATATCTCGGTTTTATAGTGCTGAGGCTGACTGCAAAGTGAATTCTTATTTTCGAAAACAGTTGGGGCTGTGACAATGTGGCCAGACAGTTGGCAGAATTGTGTAGACATTAGCCAGAGTGTGTGTGTGTTTGAGTGGTTTCGCAGTAGATAATTGTTTTCGAAATTGTGCAACAAGAATAACTAAGTCATCCGCCACACTGCTCTAAAAAAAAAGTGTTCATACAGACAACTACGAGAGCTTATGATGACAGAAAATTTTATTTTTGGCCCTTGTAGGGTCTCAAGTTTTGTTATAAAGAGATTTAACAGTTACCCCTAAAAGAAAGAAAAACATTAAATATCAACAAAATCTTGGTAAAGGCACTTTTTTATTTTTCCCACGGCCTATTCTATTGTAGCATGCACAGCGGGCGAGCACCTCTGCTTCTTCGTTCTGAGGCTCCGCGTTTGCATTTTGTCTGACCTTCCGTGCAAGCTTTGAATGTTCTCCCTGCGCCTTTGTGGATTTTGGTCAGCGACTTCAACTTCTTCCAACATTCCAAAAACATGTATGTTGGATTGATAAACGAATGCTTGCCTATGGGAGAGAGAGATTAAAAGGATCCATTATGCAGGCATGCATCATGAAGTTTATGTTCAAATGGACTCTTTCATATCTTAGACTTTTTTTTTTTTTTTTTTTACGCCTTTCAAGAAGAGGACTCTCACACGTTCGCCTAAATCAAGATTCAAAAGTGCCCTGCTCTGGAAAGTGGCTAAACCGTTTGCCTTAGTCTACTCTGACGCTTCAGTCACGGACGATTAAAATGTCACAATTTTAGAAAGGGCAACGTTTGAAATTCTTGGAAACTGGACAAAACTCCCCCCCTCACAAATAACATCAAGACATACAAAATTCACAGGCATGAAAAGACATCGTCAACCATTATTTACAAAACATGAAAAATGCACAAAGTAGAGAATGGAAGTGGTGGAAAACCAAACATTAGTTCACATTTTAACAAATTTAGTTACAGTATTCAAAATACCTTCTACAAACAGCTGTGCGTTTTGTATAAGAAATTATACATATATTTTTTTAAATGTAACAATAATACAAAATAAATGAAACTATTGGCTTGATTCTACTCTTCAAGTATCTGGTCAACTATGACTCCAGAGACAACCTCGCTTGTTTGAGAGGACGCGTACATTTTCACCTGTTCAGTTCATAATCGCTGTCCAAGAATTATTAAAACACTGGCAAAAAGTGTGGTGGGAAAACCTCTGATGATGAAGTCCAAAACTCCTGAACGAGGGTTCCCTGCAGCCTTGAAAACAAGTCACGGTGGCCCGGCGTGCTTTGCGCTCACTAGTAGAGGGCGTCGCAGTGCGCGAGGGGGATGACGTAGACCGAAATGTCGTCTCCGGAGCCCAGCCTGTCCCCGGAGATCCTCCAGCTTCCGTCTTTGAGCACGCCGCGAGCTCGCATGACCAATTCCTGGGCAGCCAGAGTGTACCTGACGTCACGCCAACACAAACACGGTCAACCAAGCAACCCTTTTTGCCTTTTAAAAGAAATCACAATAGGGAGCAACTTCTTGTTGCAGTCCAAGTCGAATTCGATTGTGTGCGTGCTACTGCTAACATGCTAAACTGTTTCAATTCTGGTTTTCAGAGTTGTGAGCTTGGTAATTAGGTTAACATGCTAACTTGCTAAAGCTAGCCGGCTAAAACAAAAATTTGGTGGAATTCGAGATTGAGGAAACCAGGTTGGATGTGATACAAAGCTTCACTGGCCTATGTTGGTCGTCGGGGTCGCAGTTGGCCAGGAAGGAGGTGACGGCCTCTGCCATTTCCTGGTTGGAAAGGACGTCCCACAGGCCGTCGGTTCCCACGACCAGGACGTCGTCGGCGCCGTGTTCGTACTGCGACAACGGGTAAACTTTGACCTGATGACCAAGATCGTTACATACGATGAGCATCCCGCAAAATGAAGCCTACACACTTTTGGGAGGATTTTGACAATTCAAGCCTTTAAGGTTACAAAAATCCCCCCCAAAAGTGAAATCCTGGTGAGACTGTTGGGCTGTGTACCTCTGGACAGCAGGAGAGAAAAGGTTTGATGTAGATGTTGGAGTCGTGCACTTTGAGATTGTGGTCGCCAAGGCCTCTGGTGACGCCGATGGTCGCTAGCACCCGAGCCTACAAAGAGAATGAAAAAAATAGCAAATAGTGTATTTCATTGTCACGTAACATTGTTGCCTTGAGATACAAGTGAGCCCAGTTTGCTTTTTTTCAAGATACAAGCCGCCATATACGAGTGCTGCATCGTGGCAGTGACCTCAAGTGACTTCCCAACAATCAGCAGTTTGGCAGAGAGCGAACAGTTATTGCCACGCCAAGTTGAAGTTTACCGTCAAACTAAACACAAATCAAAGTCCTAAATTACCCGCTGTGTTTTTCAAACAGCCACTTAGCAAAACGCCATAGACTGGCTAATGAATAGCATTGGTGTGCCGGTGTTATCACGCTTGAGGCAACAGATATGTGAACACAAATAGTGGAGCAACACATTTAAACAGACAACAATACTCTCGGACATTTTTCTTTGGTATAATTTGTGTGACTGAATTATTTAGCGCCCTTGTGGCCAAGGTTCACACACCAAAAGGAGCAGTACAATGCCCACTGAATTATGGCGTAAATGGGGTTTATTTTGGTATATTCTATTTTGCACAATATAATAGAGTGAAATCTTCTGTCCAAAAACATATTACAACAAACGTTAGGGGGCTTGTTTGCCAAAGGTTAGTTAGTTAGTTGGAACATATTAATAGCTTATACATTCATTTCTCTGAGGAAAGATGATTTGAGATACAAATTGGAACCACTTCACATTAATTAGTATGTATGCACCAATGTACATACAAAATACGTAATAATCAATGAAGAGAAGAATTGTGACGATTTTGTCACCACTTAACTTCAAAATCACGACAGTGGGTTGCTGCATACGCTGTTCCATTTGGTACGATTTGAAAATCCAGCACGATGAACCTCATCTCAAAGAGCGAACATAATGTCGAGGCGTTCGTGGCCTTCCACTGCCAAACGGTCTTCACGTGGATGCATGAGTAGCATTCGGGCAAATAAACAGACTCTCTCACCGTCAGCACCTTCTGCCTTGGGGCGCACCGCTTAACGACGATTCCCCCAGCTAGGCTCCCCGTGTTCATCAACTCATTTTGAAACTGCTGAATCGGTTCCGTTAGAGGCCCGTTAAAAAAAAATTTGCCCGCTGGCATGAGAGCGGGGAAGCGGGCTAATTGAATTTGCTCAAGTGTGACACGAGGCAGGACAACACATGTGACAGTACTGATCCTGCATCGGCACTCGGCACGCATTTTAGACACTGAACATGCAATCATTGGACTCACTCGCGTGTCAAACGGAGCAGCAGCACTGACATCCGCATCAGTATTTGACATTGACACTGAAGCAAATTCCTGGAGCGGCGTAAATCCTGAATAATTACTGACCCCCCCCCCCAAAAAAAATAAAAATTGGGCTTAATACAGTAGTTTGAAACGTTAACGTATGGCAATAAAAATTGATGGATGCCGGAATACTCAACTTCACATACTGTACACCTTGAAAAAAAAACAACCAGAAAATGAAGTAATAACAAAGTCAAATAAGAATATTCTAAAATAATAGATTTTTTAAAATTTTTTTTTGGTAAACAAATAGTGGCTGCTCCTGCTGTGTGCGTGTCGGCCTCTTAGGGGCAGTGTGGTGCCGTGCACGCATGGAATAGAAAAGAAGACTAAAAGGAAGAACAAAGACAAATGTGCCTCTGAGCATTGTTATATTACCTGCGTGCATGTAAATCCGCAGCAGTTGTGTTTGAATATTCGGAATATCACTGTGGAAGTCGAGGTTAATTTCACGTTAGCATGTCAATGAGATTTTCCATTTCCTTTAGCATTAGCGGTGGCGATGTTTTTTAAAACAAAGGATTTCTTATTTACAAATATCCAATGCGGGTAATTCTTTTTGTTGCATATTTAGTTTTACTGGAAACTCCAACCGGGGCGTGTCAAGGAGCTCAAAGCCACTCAGTGAGGGCAGAATCGCACCACGTCACACGCTTGATGCGCATGTAACATGGTGCATACTTTCACAACGTCGGGAACACGCACACACACACTGCGGCGATCGGCAAATCATTTTTCTTTGATAATAATAATTTTTTTTAAATTGTGTAAAATCAAATTCCAAGTTGAATTTTGATGAATTGCCTAGCCGGATAATCTTTCAGGGACATCCGATCATCGAATATGATGCCAAAGGAGGGAAAATGTGCGATTGTCGATAACGGCTGTACCCACTTTACCTTTTTCCCTTCACCGTAGATGAGAGGAAACTTGAGGTCGTCATCCTCAATGGTTTTATAAGCCCTGCAAAATAGCAGACGGGACACTTGAACGGCTCTCACATTGACAGATGACGATAAATTTCAGTCCATTTTTGTCAGGGGAAAAAAAAAGTCTTGGCACAACACGAATGTATAGCTTCTACTCCCCTGGGAAGAATTTCGAAAAGATGCCAGGAGGGATTTTGGCACGTTGCCCACCGCTGAATTCATGAAGAGGTGCGCAAATATTCTACAGGGCGCCTGACTGATGAATAATTGAGCAGCTTCGGCACGGCTGCGGGGATACACTCCAGATTGTATGAATTTCACGTGTTCGACCGTACAAATTTTCACCTCCGTTTCCGCCTCGCAAGCCGCGCCGGTGTTCATTTTCATTCGGAGCAGCATCAAAGTTCCGCGAGCACAAGTTGTCTGAATCAAGCGGAGGTTACGCCGCAATTAGATTCTCTCTCTCTCTCTCTCTCTGTTGCGCACGGAGCAAACACAAAAGCGTGACGAGACACTGATCAGGGAGTCGACAGCGTGACGAGACACAAGGGAAGGTGCAGGGCGGGGCGGCAAAGATGCGCAGCCAATCAGCTCACGGGATAAATCCACTCGTGCGATCATTGGTCGACGAACCAATCATGCGTACAGTCATGTACAAAACCTCGGAGTCATTCGGCATTTCTTTCTGAATGCAGTACTTTGGAGAAGAAGAAAAAAAAAAACGCGATGTACTAAAGCCGCAATCGATGAAGCGCGATTATAGCGAAGGATCACTGTAGAGTGCTCATTCCACACAAGAGAGACTATTCTTTCGTCCACCCGAGGCGAATGCGATACCGATGCAGAAATGGAGATGAACGATGTGATTGGTACGGAAATGAAAAAGTTGAATGAAGTTTGTGATGACGTTTTTTCTTTAGGGGGGGTGGAGACCTCTGAAGGCGTTGTTGGAGGCATCAATTAAATCCCAACTATTCACAGAAAGCAAATTCAAGACGCTCGACTGCACAACTCTAAAAGTTGACGGCATGAAGCGATTCCTTCCAAGAAATCCCCAGAGTTCGCTGACCCGGGCACACCAATTCCGGAGATTGGGAGTTTTACGGGCCTGTCAGACCAGTGATAACAGCAAGAGTGAGTTACCGGTCAAGAGTCGATGATGGATATCATTTCCACAGCAGTGATTGATGCACAGCGGTGGGAAAAATGAAGGTGACACTGCAGTGCGTTTGTGGACTCACCACCGGTTTGGCTTGATATCTTTGGACGACCTCTAGAGACTTCCATTCACGGAAAAAGGTGCTTTCGGGATGAATGAGACGCGTTCTATTAGAACTGCAAACACAGGCGGCGGTGGGGGAGAGGCCGCTAAGCAAACATCCCTGTAGGCGTCGGACTTCAAGGCAAAAAAAAAAAAAAAAAGCCCAAAAGGCACGGAGGCGAAAGACAACCAGCCCCGCGGGTTAAGAAAGCAAACAGACAGTCGGCGCAAAAGACCAACGGGGCAGAAATTAGCATGACTGACTGACAGGTAAAGCTTAAGAGTCACACGATGGTAAGTTGGTAGCAGAACAGTTTATAAAGATAAGAGAGCCTTTCAATTATTATCTAGGTACTAAAAACGGACAAGCTCTCACTATTTGCCGAGCGGTAGGGACCAAACCAGGCCGCGATTAGCGAATCTCAGCAGCTCATTTTTTTTTTTCCCAGAAGAGTCGATAAGCTCCTGCGTGAGTGTGTTCATTGTATTGATGTTTTTAACTCTTCAATACACAGGTGGAAACTACATCCGCAACTGTCTGTCTCATTCCCCCCACAAGGGCATTACGGTAATAAAGTAAAGTTGGGATGTTCACATAAATAAGTAGACACGCTGAACAAAAATATTGAAAGCAAAAAATGCAACTGTACTTTCTTTTGAAGCAATGGCCAAAGAGTGACTGAGCAGATGAAACCCACCATCCTGACATAGTGAAGTCACGGTACAGCATCCTCTTCCCAACCTCCTTCCTCTGCACTCTCCTCGGGAACTCCAGATGTGTAAACTCATTTCCTAATAAGTGCGGCTGCATGTAGGCCTTTGGTGAGAAAAGGGGAGAAAGAAAATGTCATAGTCGAATAAAAATGTGGTGCAGAGAGAGAGAGGAGTTCAGCAGGGTAAATATGAGACAGCTGTGCTGTGGAGATGAGGTGGTGTGCTTCCTACCAGGAACTGCAGTCGTTGCCTCTCCGACTCCGGCGTGAACTCTCTTGACATTGGGATGACCTCGCCTCCCCGGATGATGACAGCTCTGAGGGGAAGAGCAGACATGGACTCATTCTAGCTGGGACAGGACGACAGATTGTCGTGTGTGTTATCAGCAACATTTTAGCATAACAGAATGTCCTGAGGTAACCTTCAAGTTTGAACCAAGTCCCACGTTACTACCGTGCCAAAAGTCAAGCAAGTTCAGTTGAGTCTAATTCAAGCAAGTTAGCCTACGTGACAGCAGCAGCCGAGCGAGTGCACTCTGGAGATTGTATCCGTGCGTTTGAAATACTATCCTGTTCCAACAAAATTGAATGCATTTATTCATCTTGGGAGTTTGTCTTGCGTCACCTGCTGTCACCCGCGTTGCCCACGTAGAGCTTGCCGAGCATGTAGAGCACCACCAGAGCAGTGCAACCTCCAGACGTGTTGTAGACTGTCCGCTCCTTTTCTATCTGGGCATCCTAAGAAGAAAAAAAAAACAGAATCAAACAAAAAATTGATAGCAATGCAATTCAGTGCTTTTGATAATGTTTTAGCATTCATGTGTTTAGCATTCCCGCCCTTAGCTAACTGTCACAATGCTAGGCGGTTGGTTACATGTTAGCATTACTAAAAACATAGTTACACCTAACATAACTGCCATTAAGATACTCAACTGAGTAAAATGAAAATCATTTGCAGGTGGCTATCTAAAAACAAACAGTAGTGAGCTAGCGATCTATCCGTCTATATCTATCTTACTAGTTGGTTCGCTAGCTCCATATCTAGCATGTAGCTATCGATCGTGCTATCAAAAAGTACGCGAGGAGACAGCTAGCGCCACACGCCAAACATGATGATGCCATTATGAATTATAATTATAGCGCCACAATGAGTCCATTAACCAAGGAGCAATAAAATAGAATCAAAACACCAGGACAGCGCTGGAAGTTCAGATGGGGCACTGGCTATTAGTGCCAGTTAATTAGCCTAAATTCATTTGGTGCTAATTAAACCGAGAGGATAAACTCTGGCTACGTGTTCATTAGTTAGAATAGCAATTAAGATATCAATGAATTAATTAAAATAGCAAAAACACGCGGTTTAACCCGGTGACACTCTTTGCTCGTTGCCGTGTTGGTTCACAAATTCTGGGATTTTTCTGCATTCAACATACATTCACACACTGGACATTTCATGAGGTAACCATGCAGTCATCGAGTGCAGTGATTCCCAATAACCGTGCCTTTATCCAATTTCGCGTCGTAGATTTACACAATCTATATTTGTTCATCTATCAAATGACTTGGTGTTACTGAGTTCATACCAAGCTAATTTGTTCGAATATCGAAACAAGATCGTCATTATTTCAGGAAATGTACTTGCTGAATTCTTTTGTTGTGTGCTGTGCTCTGGCTCAATTAAATCAAATTGAGGTTGGGTAACACTTGACGCAATGTATCAGAATTCTGCCTCTACAAAGATAGTAATGTGTTCTTTTCTTTCTCGTAGGAGTCAAGATGATGGATGCCGGTCTGCCTTCTGTGTGCTCTTTATGCCGGAGGGAGGATGTGTAAATGTGTCCTTCGCCCTGGATGAATTATGAATCCCATAACCCGCCATACATATTTATCCTGGCTGCATGAGCCACATCCCGCAGGCAAAGTCTTTAATAATGAAAACATCTGCATAAACATCCACACCTTTTTCCTCGCCATCTCCACCAGGAAGACTCCTGCTGTAGAAAAATCATACACTTCACAGACACGACGAGTCAATCTCACCGTCCTTAATTGTCTGGCTGTAATCTAATAGCGTCTGGTGAGTGGGACAACGATGAACGCAGCAATAAATCAAAAAATAAAGCCATTAATATTTATTGATAGTTTCCAAGCTGCTCTTAAGTCACTTGAATGACAAGTGGCTTCCCAGGCGGAAGAGGAATTTAAGGTACAGCTCGGGTGAGCACAGGCTTGGACAACGCATTTTATTTGTACTTTTTCCTTTGTGTTCGAATTGGGAAAAAAAAAAGCATTTAACAAGTGAAGTTACTGGGGCATTATCGAAGGGAAAAAAAACATGTTAATTCATTAGAATTCCCTAAACAGCAAAGGTTTGGTGAATACTGTAACAGTTAAATGCTGCCACCTAGAGGTCAAAGAAGAGAAGATACTTGTTGAAACGTGCTACCCAAAGCAGACATATATTCTCTTTATTGATCAATTTATCTACACTCACGTCCACACAAAAATAGTTTTTTATTATACCATCTTAAATGTGTTCATATTTATGTGTAGTTAGCTTATCATGAATCATCTAAGTTCATTAGCTATCACCATTGGATTGTATTTATTTAAAAAATTTGCTTTATTGTCTTTCACAGAACGGGGTGATGGGGCAGTTTTGCAAAATTAACAATAGAGTATGAACATATAATTGCCTGAGGCATTGGTAGTTGTGTATTTAATAAATGATGTATGAAGTTTTACATTTTTAATATATAGGACCCTCAGACAAATTTCAGAAACAACTCGTTCAAATTATAAATACAGGCAATTTGAAACATTTTTACGAGGGGCGTCAGTTACTTGCAGTTTTTCGCCATAGATCTCTGCGCCAATTATCGATTATTGTGCGGCCCAAGCCGTGGCACTACTGGTACGAGGGCACCTTCTAGTGGTACATAAAAGAATCACCTAAGTACGGTTCCATTATTTTCACATTTTCATGTTAAAAAACGCTTTGTTTGAAATTTTTATTTGGTGGGCGATAGGGTGGGAAGAAACAAACCGGACAATAGGTCGTTGAATTACCATGTCTTTGAACGCGTTCTCAATGGCGCCGACGACCAGGCTCTCGTGCGACACTTTCTTCTCTGCGAAGTAGCGCGTGGGCGGGGTGCTCGGCGACCCGGGCGCACCGGCGGCTCCCCGTAGGGAAGCACCCCTGGTGAGGGCGCGAGAGTTCGACGTGGGATTGAGGTGCTGGTGGTGCCAGCGGATGGGCTCCTCGCTCAAGCAGGTGGGCGGCTGGAGGTCCGGCACGCACAGGATGTCCATCACCTCCTGAAGGTGCAGCGCGATGTGGTGGTGGAGGAGACGCGACGCCACCACGGCTGCCCCGCAGCCGGCGTGACCGTCAAACAGGCCCCAGTAGTGGAAAGTGAGGTTGTCGGAGTTGGCCTAGTACACAGAAACTCATTATTAGTCTATGTTCATCCGTTTTATACAAGTGTAGTGCAGATCAGTGTCCAGTAGGTGGTAGCAATGCACTGCTGATCACAGTTCTCAATGTGACAAATGAGGTCTAATATTCAACAATGCTGAGGTATGCTGGGGGGGGGGGGACTATTGCCCGAAAGTATTGAGACATCCGGTGACTTTTTTTTTTTTTAAAGAATCACAAAATTAAAAGGTCCAACTGTGCACATTGGTACACTGGCTCTAACTGTTTTTCCAACATTTTTTTTTCTTTTTACATAGGTGCAATACATTTGAACGGAATCATGACTGAAGCACAGTAGTTATTTTTTTTTTTTTTTTTTAGATAGAAAAAAAAATGCATGTTTTCCTGAGCATGTCTGGGGGAGAGAATTAAAAAAAAAAGTGTGTGTGGCATCTTCGGAAACCCGAAGTTGAACTAATGCAGCATGTTAGCACAACTTAAGAGCGGATTACATTTTTCACAACACAAACAGCCAACTGCACCCGCTGCCAAGCTGATCTGCACCAACTTTATATCAACAATTTCAAGGCATGTTCCTGAGAGAACGAGACAAGCAAAATATTAAGAACACCTCAAAGTAACATGTTTTTTTTTTTTGTTTTTTTTTGCGTCCTGTAGCGAAATGGGGCGACTAAAAATCCACCGTCTCAAGCCTGTTTCAACTCTTGCACCACTTGGTTATCAGTTAGGCTGATTATCTGTTCAGTGTTCATACTTTGGTCTTTTCTGCTGTAAGGCCAATACCTTGATAATATAATCTTGAAACCTTACATAATATTTACCTCATAATAATTTGCTCAAATGACATTGATTCAAATTTCTGGCGAGGTGATGAGCTAATTAATTGATGGAATGATCGATAGGAAAATTAATTGTAAAAAGATTCCTTCATGAAAGCCCGAGTTATTGATGACATTCATGATTGTGAAGACACCGATCATGATCATTATTTCTCACAAGAATTAGGAAATGGATAGATACCAATTTGCACCACGTCGTTATTTCTATAAATCTCTTCAACTGTTTGCATTTTCAAATGGAACTGAATTAATTGTCAACAACTGTTAACATTTACAACCCATCCAAGAGACAAAAAAACAACAACAATGACCAACAGAGGTGGACTGGAAAACCTGATGGCCTTATTTTCTTAGGGAAGTGAAAAGGAGAAAAATAATGAAGGGAGTGAGGAAAACAAACAAGTCCCAAACTATGCTCCGATAAGGGAGGGGGGCACAGTACGGGTTTCGAAAGAAAAAAAAAAAAAAACAACTTATCACGTTTCTAGAAAATCACAATGTCCTCTCACTGCCGAGCTATTTTCAGAGCAGCCCGGCGGGCTCGTCCCTGCGCTCCTTGGGGGCTACCTGGATGGAAACTGAACCGAATGCAAGGATGAAAGAAACGTGATGGTTGGCACATACCAGGCCTTCCCTGAGGCCCAGTCCCTCGCCGTTGGGCAGGGATGACCTCCTTTGGGCGGCGGGGCCCCAGTTGGACATGGCGGAGCTTCCTGGCGGTTTTCGCTTGACCGCCAGCACCTCGCAGCAGGCCTGATCCTCATTTAAAGTGCTCTTTCCTGCATTGATCGCCCTGGAAAGACCAACAGCACATATATAGGCAGATGACACTTTTAAGACATATTTTAAAAAAAAATGTAAAAATGATTTCGAGCATATCAAATGACCCACATGTAGCGATCACATGCAGTCCTCTACAGGGGCTATTGATAAGATCTGCCTTCATTCAGACATCATGCACCTTCCGACCATGTGACGTCCTTATGACTGTTGAAGGCTCCACAAAGCCACTTGTGTTAAAGAGTGTGACGACAAACTTCTCCCCGCACAGACACACACACACACACACACATTCACTATTCGAGTGACACTTGAACTTTCCGCTCTTTTCAAAGTCGGAAAAGTGGGCAGGAGGGTTTTAGCGTTCGCATTTGCCCTCCAGCCACCGCGGCCTCTGACACCCCAGTGCTGTCGTATTCACTTACCTCCTTTCACATTCGGAACAATGACGTGGCCCAAATTACCCCGTCAGTGGCTTTGACGATGACATGAGATACTCCAAATCACAGGCGAGGCATTATTTTCCCCTGTGCGAAATTGATGCTCACGCTTTGTGCTTGCGCGTTACTTTGGCTTGTTTCCTGTTTAACACTCCTTACTTGATGAGGCTCATGTGAAAGTGGGTTTGTTTGTTTTGAACAACTACTGACTACAGTTGTTTATGTAACACGGCTTCATGATTGCGCACATGCTAGATGCGTCGCCATTTTCGGACCTTTCTTTACCCTGCCACGTTATTTTCATACATAAAGATGTATTGGAGATTGAATGCCTGAATTATTAAAAAAAACATGAAAAAAAAACGTCCTTGAGTTTTTTTTCAAAGTTCTTTGCCGCCATTTTGTGGCATCGAGACACAATTACGAACCGCTTTGGGGGGGGCGTGTCAATCATATATAGTTATGGATTTTTATTTTATTTTTTTACAGGACTGCAACACATTCCACGACAGATAGCGTCATCACAAAGTTACACGGTCTTTACGAGTAGAGGTTCCACTGTAATTTTTTTTCTCCAAGTTATTGTGCAACAGAATTCTCCTGCCGCAATATCAAGTTTGTCACGGCACAATGGAGACCTTGGAGACGATTCGGTGATGGGAGACGGTCCTCTACATCTGCCATCGTCATGATAACCCCGCCCCCTGCGCCCATCAGCCCCCCCCCCGCCGTAGTTGGTGCCAGAGTCTGATCCAACAAATAATTGGGCCCAGCTTAATCCCCCAGTTTCAAGCACCGCAGCTAGAACGAAAGCCAATTTCAGTGGTGGAAAAAGAAAGAACTGGTACTAACCTGGGCACTGGCCCGGAACTAGCACGTGGAAAAGGGCCATGGGATATTCTTTAGCTCAGCCACAATTCTAATGAGGACAAGCGCTCTAGAAAACGGATGAATGAATGATTGCTATGCTTCTCCCTCGAATGAAAATAATAAAACAAAACAAAAAAAGTTGGTGAAAGGGCACCAGAGCATGAAAGATGTCACTTTCAATCAAAGATGTCTCGAAGGAGCAGTACTCCACTGATCCATTCAGAGAGATCTCGATAAGTGTACCAGGCAGCGCTCTCACCCCGCAGAGAAAAAAAATCCTCCCTCGTGAAGCGGAATCGCTCGTCCCGTCTCAGCTGGGACCGGCGTGACCTATTTGCTTACTTGTTTTAAGCAGACATGCAAAAAAAAAAAAAAAAAAAAAAACCACCAGCAGAGTACAGCTGGATGCTTAATGCTTAAATGTGCTCCCACACTTTTTGCCAACCCTTCATTCCTTTGCGATCTTCTTTTACTACTCCACACAAAGGTCAGCCTTGCGTTGAAATATTTGGAGCATTTGTATCTAATCTTTATACACACTTGACCCCAAAAATAAAATAAAAAAAAAACAGTGATTGTGCCAACTGATGCTGTACGCCGTCCTCACATCTAGTCCAGATTACTTACTAGTCTGCCAGATGGTCGGCTCAGCCCATGTTTCTCCTCATTTTTGCAATTTACTTAATCGCCCACTTCTGACTCGTTTGGAATTCCAATTTGCGTACGAAATAATAGAAATGGATGTTGCGTTATCATTCATTCATTTTCCGATCCGCTTATCCTCACAAGGGTCGTGGGGGGGGGGGGTGCTGGAGCCTATCCCAACTGTCCTCGGGCAGTAGGCGGGGGACACCCTGAACCGGTTGCCAGCCAATCGCAGGGCACACACAGACAAACAACCATCCGTGCTCACACTCACACCGTGGGACAATTTAGAGTGTTCAAACAGCCTGCCACGCATGTTTTTGGAATGTGGGAGGAAACCGGAGTACCCGGAGAAAACCCACGCAGGCCCAGGGAGAACATGCAAACTCCACACAGGAAGGACGGATCCAGAATCGAACCCACAACCTCTGCACTGTGAGGTCGACTGGCTAACCTGTTGCTACGTGAGGTGCGATTATAACTGTTGTCCACTTGGGGTCACCATTCTTGCGTTCCACACGATAATAACCGTGAACTTAATGTATGTTTGGACCCTTGTGAGGATGAGCGCTTCGGATAATGGCTGGCTGGCTTTTAAAAGGTACAGCACGGCCTGGCGAGTGACAAGGTAGTTCGCCAATGAGAGTGTAACGTCGGTTGTTGCAATCTCAGGTTTGCTGCCTGTTTGTTACTCGCGTTACGTTAATCATCTGGGCCTCAGTTACGGCTTGCGTAGAAAATTCGGCGACTGATCATGTATTGTCGGGGTTCCATTAAAATGTTTGCGCTGTGGAGCTTGAAGCTAACAATAAGATCCTTAATGGACTGCGTGGATCCCATCACATGATAAGCCCTCAGGTTTTCTGTGCTGCCAGTGAGCTTTCACAAGCACAAACTATGTCGGTCTGCCAGCTGTTGACAAATCCCCAACATGGCTCAGCAGTGGCGGATTTATGTCGCACAGGAGATGCAAACAAATCACATGTTGAATGAATCCTCACATGGATGTCAGCTTGGGTCGAGGATGCCGAGCACTTGTCGTGAGCTCAAATGACACTCGTATCACACAGCGCACAAGTGGGTGAGGTTCATTAAACCAATTAGCTCACCAACCAAGAAATTATTTGATTATCTTGTCGGGATGAGAATCATGCGGCCCGGTTGTCCAGTGGTTAGCGCATCGACCTCACAGTGCAGAGGTACCGGGTTCGATTCCAGCTCCGGCCTCCCTGTGTGGAGTTAGCATGTTCTTCCCAGGCCTGCGTGGGTTTTCTCCGGGTACTCCAGTTTCCGCTCACATTCCAAAAACATCCAACGTGGTTGGAATGAGAAGTACCTGCCCTTGCACTCCAAAAAGCAACGTGGGCAAAGGCAACCGCTGTTTGTTTTGTGAATACAGTAAACGTCATTAGAATGAATTTCAATCGAGTATGAAGCAACAATGAAAACAAAACAAAAGCGAGTGAGCAAAGGATCACCAGAAGTGTCCTGTTACAAGAATGAAGTTGAAAGTGATGAATTTAGGAGGAAAGAAAAAAAAGACAGCAAAAGAATGAATTTGAAACATTCTTAACTTGGGTCACTTGGTATCCTGCCAGCCTAAAAATGGCGTACCTGCAAGTGAGGAGTCTTTTGAGTAAATTTCACAAATAATGAGATTGTATGTATGTGTGTGTGAATGGGGGACATTCACATTCAAAATGGCGACTACTCTTAGGAACTCTTAACATGGTAACGTCTGTGAAAGTAAAAGCAACAAGGACACCCATCGACCCACACGTGGAAAAGGCAACTAGTAATCTCCCATCGCTGCAAAAATGGGCAACTTTATGCACTCGTGAAAGTGTGCCGCGTCAGGAAATAGTCCCTACCACCAGCACGAAGAGAAGACTTGCTCTCAAGGGAGGGGGGAAACTGCACAAAGGCGAGCTTCTATTTGTGAATTGATCGATTTGCCGTGTCGTCGAGCGTGCAAGGATTGCCTCAAGGACTCATTACGGTGACCTCAGTCTTTCACTCATAACAGAATCGAACCGGACAGGACCAGACGATGCTTTTGGTGCTTGTGTGAAGAGATAAGGGGCACTTCTTCAGACTGTTGCAGATGGTGCACATCGTTCTTACTTATCTGCAGGAGCGATTGTAACCACAACACAGGCCACAACATTTGCGCAACAAGAAATGACACCGAGAGTGCAGCAGATGCCTTTTTTTTTTTTTTTTTTTTTTTTTTTTTGAGAGCAAGTGACAAAGTAAACATTCAATGAGCAAACATTCCAAACCCGCTCCTCTGGATCTGATGGCTGGCCTCACGGACTAAATTGACGATTACATAACTTTCGAGGTCACATTCACTGTTGAGCATATGACACAATCCTCACCAGCCACAATATTAGGTACATACGGTAATAAGATACAATATAAGAGGTGAAAAGAAAGAGAAGGCCAAATTTTGGCTGACAGCATTTTTGCACTTAATTATTTCTGATACGAGTCTTGTATTGGACCGCAGTTGTCCAGTATCTAATTGAAGGACGATCCATTCTATTTTAATGTTGTGGAGTTGAAATGAAATGAAACCATCTCAGAACACTGTTGTATGAATTGATAAATAAGAATATTGTAATAGCTACGACAATGCGATTTCCGTAAATAGGGCGTGTGAAAGCTGAAGAGCCCAAGCTGAATGGTTTGGATGAGGCGAGAATTGTGGAAGGTATGTAAAATCTCTCATTTGGTTTGTAAATTTGGAAATGTGAGAAGTGCTGTATGGCTGTAGCTTTGTGTACATTATATTGTGAATGAGCTTAATGGTTTGAAGTTAAAATGGTTTGAGTAGGTCGAGAAATGTGAACGGGGGTAAATCTGTAAAATGTCTTCAAATGGAAATAATGTCAAAACTTGGAAAGTGACGGGAGTGAAAAACAGTTCCCAAAATGTCCTGATTGAGCTGAACAGTTTGGAATTGGAGACTTTTGAACAGATCGCCAAATCTGGAAGGAGGCCGTAAATATGTTAAAACGTCTGTATTAATTTCAGAATTTTTGCTTGGAAAATGTGGGATCATGAAAACTGTGGCAATTTGAGCAATGTGGAAAAAAATAGTCCCCAAGACGCCTTAAATTTTGAATACCGACTCTTGAAATTGAACAGCGTGAAGTAGAAATGTGACCGATGAGAAACTTTTATGCTGAACATTGAATTCACTTGAATGGGATGTGCGTTAAAACGGAGTTGGAAATTTGGAAAATAGTTCCCTAAACGTCCCGAATATTGTGAACATTTGGATATTTGAGTCAGGTGAGTCATGTGGAAGGAGTAGAATGCTCTTCAGCGTTCACCCAAAAAAAAAAAAAAAAAGGATGCAGGGGAAGCCGAAAGATGGAGCAAACAGGTTACTCACTCCGCATAGCCGGTGGACCAGGGAAGCCGCTTGCTCTCCTTCACGATGACGATGGGCCTCGCCGAGTGATCCGCCGAGCACTCCACCTCATCCGGCGACAGTGCCAGGAACTCCGGTCTGCCGTACGGGAATTTAGGAGCCACCTCAGAAGCGCCGGAGGGGTGGTCGCGGTCGCTGCCGCCGCGGGAGGTTATCACGCCCCCCATGAAGGTGGCCACCGCCGATTTCACTCGAGTGAGCATGGCGGCTCGGCAGCGTGAGTCCGCCGTGACCCTCGTCGTGAGCGTGTCCGTGGGCGTCGAGACTGAGGGAGATGTCGCAACACGGATAACACGCTCACGGAGTGTGGGCTCTTTTCATCGAACCCGGAAATACAAAATACTACGTGCTCGCGACACCCGCCAGCGCGCGCGCACGTATTCGTACAAGCCCGCGCACAGTCAATGGGCCTGGTCACGTGACCAACCCGCTGCTCGCAAGCGCTGTTTTCAAAAAAAAAAGGTGGCATGCTTGAGGGGGTCGAAGGCGAATATTGATCGGCGTCTCGCGGGGCAAGGTGCAAATAAATAAATCGAAAATTTTATTTAAAAAAATTTCCGTGCTCATACTCCAGGACAATAAACATCAGGAAAATCTGCTTCATATTTCAATTGTGTTTATTTTTTCACTTGCGGAGACTTTCTAGAATAGATTACACACTGCTTCCTTATTACTACTGCATTCCGTTTATTGCGTCATGTCACATTTTACATTAGAAAAATCACTCCATGCCACCATTGGAAAATGTCAACAGAAAGTACCTGTATATACTGAAATAATGACTTTGTCTCAATCGACTCACAAATGTAAATATTGTGAAGTATGGGACGGTTTAGTTAAACACAAAGCTATTGTTGTATTCTATGAATGGCGACTGGTGGCTACACAAATTAATTGTATATTGCCCCATCTAGCGGAAGAAGATTTCACTGTTCTTCTTGTCACTGTCACAGGCAGACATAGTTGAAAAAACATTAGGCTAAAGTGCTTACTTAGTTAGGTCCGGACCTAGAAAGTACCCTGCGTGCTGACACA